ATAGGGGTACCCCTCAATATCTCAACACACTCTAAACTAGGGTTTAGGGTTTAGGGTTTAGGGTTTTAGGTTTTAGGGTTTAGGGTTTAGGGTTTAGGGTTTAGGGTTTAGGGTTTAGGGTTTAGGGTTTAGGGTTTAGGGTTTAGGGTTTAGGGTTTAGGGTTTAGGGTAACCATACTTGAAGCTCCAATCTAACGAAATCCTAAATGCAACCCTGAACCCGAAACCCGAGACCCGAAACCCTAACCCTAACCCCTACAAAGGAGCCTACTTGGGCCACCCTGAAACAACCCCCAAAAGGAGCCCCTCTGGGCCAGACGAGGCCTAAGCCACAATGTCAAGCAGATCGAATCCAGCAAACCTTAACTCCAACCCTGCCCCAAACCCGAAACAATGTTTTGAAAAAACTATCTGGGGCAGAGAGGGTGCTTGCGAGCCTATCTGGCCAGGTAGGCCGAACCCAAGCTAACCCCCAATTTTCAAGCCCTATCACCAAAACTCCAGAACGCCTACACCCTAGACCTGCCCGAAACCAAACCCAACTAAGCCCTAAACCCCAAACCCCAAACCCCAAACCCTAAACCCTAAACCCTAAACCCCAAACCCTAAACCCTAAACCCCAAACCCCAAACCCTAAACCCTAAACCCTAAACCCTAACCGACATCGCCCTTTGCCGAGCCGCAGAAGCTCGAAGAGAAGCGTGTCCACGTGGCTGGGCAGGATGTGCCTTGAGCTCGGGCTTAGGGTTTAGGGTTTAGGGTTTAGGGTTTAGGGTTTAGGGTTTAGGGTTTAGGGTTTAGGGTTTAGGGTTTAGGGTTTAGGGTTTAGGGTTTAGGGTTTAGGGTTAGGGTTTAGGGTTTAGGGTTTCGGGTTCAGGGTTTAGTTTAGGGTTTAGGGTTTAGGGTTTAGGGTTTAGGGTTTTAGGGTTTTAGGGGTTTAGGGTTTAGGGTTTAGGGTTTAGGGTTTAGGGTTTAGGGTTTAGGGTTTAGGGTTTAGGGTTTAGGGTTTAGGGTTTGGGTTTTGGGTTCAGGGCTAGGGGGTTTTTTTGGTGGGGGGGGGCGGGGGCGGGTTAGGGGGCTTTAGGGTGTTGGGGGGGGTTTAGGGGGGGTTTTGGGTAAAGGGTGCAAGCATCCAGACAGCCGATTTGTTTCAAGCTCATATACAAAAACTTAGGCTACTGGGGTTAAGCCCTCCCTGAAAACGATTCCTATCTAGATCCCTAAACCCTAAACCCTAAACCCTCTTAGGGACAATGACAGATGTCCCAAGTTCGAAGGGCTCACGGCCTAAACCGCTTTCGTTCAGTGTTTTTCGTTAAGGGTTTAGGGTTTAAGCCCTAAATCCCTACGAGTAACTAAACCCCAAGCCCTAAACCCTAAACCCCAAACCCACCCAAACCCTAAACCCTAAACCCCAAACCCCAAACCCCAAACCCTAAAACCCTAAGCCCGAGGGTTTAGGGATCAGGGTTTTAGGGTTTGGGGTTTAGGGTTCCCTAAACCCTAAAACCCTAAACCCTAAACCCCAAACCCTAAAGCCCTAAGCCCGAGGGTTTAGGGATCAGGGTTTAGGGTTTGGGGTTCAGGGTTCCCTAAACCCTAAAACCCCAACCCCCAAACCCTAAACCCCAAACCCTAAACCCCAAACCCTAAACCCCAAACCCTAAAACCCTAAACCCGAGGGCTTAGGGATCAGGGTTTGGGGTTTGGGGTTTGGGGTTCCCTAAACCCTAAAACCCTAAACCCCAAACCCTAAACCCCAAACCCTAAAACCCTAAACCCGAGGGCTTAGGGATCAGGGTGGCCGAGGGGCGCCAGGTCGATGTGCACCGCCGTGGGCGTCTTTGGATCCGTCGGGTCGTTCAGGAGGTTGGCCCTCAGCTGGACAGAAGTTTCGGATTTTAGGGTTTAGGGTTTAGGGTTTAGGGTTTAGGGTTTAGGGTTTAGGGTTTAGGGTTTAGGGTTTGGGGTTTGGGGTTTAGGGTTTAAGGTTTTAGGGATTAGAATTTAGGATTTAGGGTTAGGGTTTACGAAGATAGGGGACTCAGGGTTTACGAAGATAGGGGACTCACATGTAAACCGACCACAACAAGGTACCCCTTATATCGTAGACCCGGGATTTTTGAGACTCGGGAACCCTCAAACCTCAACCCTGAACCCTGAACCCTCAACCCTCAACCCTAAACCCTAAACCCTATCTTGAAGCTCGACCCACACGGAACTGCTTGAAAGCTACCGCGGCGCGTGGAACTCGGAACTACGGCAGGGGTGAAGGTGTTGAGGCCCAGGGAAAGCAATCATCTCGTAACCTGAGACCTAGGCCCTCAACCCAACGAACCCTAAACCCTAAACCCTAAACCCGAAACCCTAAACCCGAAACCCGAAACCCTAAACCCTAAACCCCTCCACCCAAAATCTTGATGCCCAGTCACACCAGGGAAGAGATGTCCGTAGCTTCCCTGCAAGGCTATACGGGTAGTTTCATGGTTCCTTACTATTTTGGAGGTTTTAGGGTTTTAGGGTTCAGGGTTTATAGGGTTTTGGGCTTAAAGTTTCGGGTTTAGGGTTTTGGGTTTAGGGTTTAGGGTTTAGGGTAGGGTTTCGGGTTTAGGGCTGAGGGGCTAGGGGTTGTAGACTCCTAATTGTAAGGGTAGTTACATTATCCCTAAATCCTTTAAAGGGTGTTCTATACCCCCTATATACCCTATACCAGTTTGGGGCCCATACATCAAAATGGGGTAAGGGACCCTGCTAAGGGCCCATGAAACTAGCCTTAGCAGCTTTCCAGGGATTGTAGGTTATCTTTCGGGTGCTTGGGGTTCAGGCTTCGTGGCATAGAGCAAGACCAAGGCCATGAAAGGTCTCCTACACCCTGAACCCTACACCGTTGTCAGGCAGTGCCGGGCTCAGGGTCTAGGAACCCTTAAAGGGGCATCAGGGGGGCACTCTAGAAGGAGGTCAAAGGTCTTTAAGGTTCAGGGTTTAGGGTTTTTAGGGGTGCTTAGGGTTTACCAAGTAAGTACTAATATTTTCTGATTGTGTAGCACGGAGTACTATGACAATCCAGCATGTGTGCGAATGGTCGCTTCCAAGTAGGGTTTATTGTTCAGGCGAGGGTTTCGGGTTCAAGGCTTAGGATTCCAAGGTTTGGTTTCGGGTTTAGGGCTTAAGCTTTAGGGTTCAGGGTTTAGGGTTTAAGGTTCAGGGCCTAGTGTTTAGACTTAGAGCTTACTCTTTGGGTTGTGTGTGAAACTTTTTGATATCTCAATGGTATGGGGTTCTCTGGGTGGGTACTTTTCGGGCGCCTGAAAGGCTGCTAAACAAATGAATGCTTGAACTTGAGCTGCTGAACCCTAAACCCTAAACCCTAAACCCTAAACCCTAAACCCTAAACCCTAAACCCTAAACCCTAAACCCCCCAAAGGCCCCGCGAGGGCGGCCTGATCTCGACGTGGTGAAGGAGTGGCTTCCCACCGTGCTCTGCCTGGTGCGCACGAGGCTTTGGGGCTCAGGGTTCAGGGTTCAGGGTTCCGGGTTCAGGGTTTAGGGTTTAGGGTTTAGGGTTTAGGGTTTAGGGTTTAGGGTTTAGGGTTTAGGGTTTAGGGTTTAGGGTTTAGGGTTTAGGGGTTTTGGGGGGGGGTCTCATGACATGTGGTCAGCTCTCCCAGTTACGGTTGCTTGAGGGTTCAAGGTTTAGGTTGTCATGGAATATGTGTCGAAGTTCCTTGTGAAACCCTTAACCGAAACCATGGCCCCGGTAGGAGGGTTTAAGGTTCAGGGTTCAGGGTTCAAGGTTTAGGGCTTGGAGGTCAGGTTTCCTTTACACTCCCCGCCTCACATGCGAAGAACAGAACCCGACACATTGAAGCCCCCGAAACCCCCAACTTCTTAAACTCCGCACCCTTGCTAAACCCTAAACCCCAAGCCCTAAACCCTAAACCCTAAACCCTAAACCTCGAACCCTAAACCCCAAACATCGTCCTGGAGATTGCAGATCTGCCGGTGGATCCAGTGCCTCAGGGCGGTGGCAAGCCCCATGTCAGCGTGGGGAGCTTCTTATCGGGGTCCTTCTTTTGAGAGGATCCTACTCTTTGGGAATCTGTATCTAGACTTAGGAGTAACCTAGGATAAAAAGGGTACTTTTTTTGGTGTTAAGGGGATTATAAGGGAACCCCAACCCTAAAAAGAGGACATAAGGGCCTACTCCAGGTCCTAGATATTTGAGGTCTTAGTATCGTAAGCCCCCACAGAAGCATTGGTGCCCTGGAAACCCTAAACCCGAAATCCTATTGTAGAAAGCCTTGCGGCCCTTCCGGAATGTGTCCGTAGTAGCCCTAAACCCTAAACCCTAAACCCCAAACCCCTAAACCCCTTAAAAACCCCAAAGCCCTAGCCGCCCTGGAGTGCCCTAGAATCCCGAGCCCAAGCACAAGGGCTTAGGGTTGAAGGTTTAGGGTTTAGGGTTTAGGGTTTAGGGTTTAGGGCTTAGGGTTTAGGGCTTAGGGTGTAGGGTGTAGGGTGCAACTCCAACACGCCTAAGCCCCTAAACCCCTTGGCCCTTATAACACAGTTGCAAAAGACCGAGGTGCGTCTTGCCCACGCCGTTCATCTGGGCGGCGACGGCCTTCAAGAGGTTTCAACCCGGGTTTAGTAGGGTGTATTTAGTAGAATTTGGTGTTTAGGGTTTAGGGTTTAGGGTTTAGGGTTTCGGGTTTCGGGTTTGGGGTTTAGGGTTTAGGGTTTAGGGTTTGGGGTTTAGGGTTTAGGGTTTAGGGTTTGAACCTGCGGGTTTAGGGCTTAGCGGCTGAGGGTTGTTTCGTGATCGCCTGGAGAGATCGAAGAATTCTCCTCCCCTGCCAGTATCGCGCTAATGGGGTTTGGGGTTTAGGGTTTGGGGTTTAGGGTTTAGGGTTTAGGGTTTAGGGTTTAGGGTTTTTTTTAACCGGAATCACTGGCGTGCAGCAATAATGCTGTCCGGTCCGTATTGTGAAAAGTCTTCCCTACTCCTCCTCTCCCTCCTCACATTCATAGTCCACCCCCAGTCGAACAGGTAGGACACGACCACGATCACCACCACCCATACCATCACCCTTTCCATCACCGCCCCCCGGTCGACATTCTTCATCTGCACGATCCTCCCCATGGTTTTCACCACCTCCTCCACCGCCCATCGTGGTTCGCAAAGAGGCCACTTCTTCAGGTTTTCCACCCCCCACCTCACCAACTTCTCCACCCGCACCCCAAGAGGAAATCGGACGCGACGAGGCCAAGGTCATAGTCCAGGAAGACATAGTCCGCGGCGAGGATGAAGACGTAGCCCGTGGCAAAGACATAGTCCACAACCCAGGCAGTGGCATCACCATCAGGACCGTGGCGTCGCTGTCGGAGTTGTCATCCTCCCCATCACCTCCACGACTTGCCACCTCCTCCACTCCTATCTCCCCCTCCCCAGCAGTGTCCAACGTGGCATCCGCGACTGCCAGCATCCCATCCTCAACCGCCAGCATCCCATCCTCGATCGCCATCATCCCATTTGCCACCGCCAGCACTCCATGTTCCACAGGCGCCCCATTCTCCAGCCCACCATCCACCAAGTCTGTGCGCGTAGTCCCGGACGACGTCGCCCCGCTTGAAGTAGCCGCCTCCCCAGTGCTTCGCCTCGGTGAGCGTGATCGCCCGGCACGTCTCGGCGCTGAAATTTGCGCTTCTCTCCTGGCGATGCGCCCCAGCCTCTCCCGGAACTGTCTCGCCCACGTTACAGCCCGCGTCTCTCCCATGATGTCACGAGGTCGCCGTTCACGCGGAAGTTCCACCCCACCACACCCAAGGACCTCCACCTCAATGCGGCGTAGTATTTGCAACATGAAACGCGCACCCCGTTTCTCCTCCTCCACCCACTGACGAACTCCCCAGCGTAGTTCAGGTAGAACCCCTTCTGCTCCATGTCGCTCGAGGTGCTCCCTCATCTCCACCAACGCCACATCCACCTCCCCCTGTGCATCCTCCAATTGGCGAGCCTCATTTATGCGCCTCATGACCAGCTCATGTTGCATCAACCCACTGTTGTCCCCCTCCTGCGGGTCCCAGTCCATCACCTCGGGCTCGTCCAAGTCCTCTGGCGCCAACGGTATATCCTCCTCCCCAACATCACTGAGCACGGACGCCCCAAGTGGTGTAGGCTCCCCACGTGGAGCAGCAGGACCACCATGTAGACCTCCATGTAGAGCAGCACCATCTTGTGGAGTAGCGGGAGGACTTGACGAAGACGCCCCACCACCAGCCGCGCCCCCATGTAGAGCAGCACCAACCTGTAGAGCAGCGGGAGAACTCGACGACGACGCCCCACCACCAGTGGACTCATAGTCCGTTCGTCCTGAAAAATCCATAGCCAACAGGGCCAATCAACGTTCTCAGGATCTTGGGCCACATCTGGGAGCTACATCTCACGCCCATAGTGTGAGCAAGTATCGGCAAAAATGCGCTCACAATCTCGAGGGTTTTGAGGGCTGTCCTCACCTCAAAGACCTCCCAGAATCGATGCTTCAAGTTCCATCCAAAGGACACGGACCTTTCCGTATAGTCGACCGTGAACACAGCCGCATGCACCGCGCCGACGGGAACTTCCAAGTCCTTCGGTCCTCCGATACGGAGCTTCCTTCTCGCACACTTCGACACAGACTCCGGCTCTTTGACGAGGAAAATCCGTTGGAACCGCACCAAAAACGACGAGAGCGCGTACAGCGCCAAATCGTCATCTCCGAATACCTCCGGACGAGTCTCGATAAGGCTCGCAAGCTCGCTGATCATGTCCACGTCTTCCAGTGACTTGATGCCGAGGAATTCTAGGTAGCGGGTCACTTCCTCATCCTCTATGACCATGATTTGGAGAATCTTCTTCCTCACCTCGCGGTCAAGGGACACGAACAGGCGAAGAGCTGCCAACTGTGGCATTTTGCTCCCAACGTTTGCATTGTGCATCAACATATGCAAAAACAACGACACGATGGACATGGAGTTACTTCCTGGCAACATCCCAAGCACCTTCCAACTCCTCACCTCATTCTTCCTCCCGTCTCGGAATTCTCTCATCTCCTGGATGATCGTATCCTTCCCTTTCGAGGATACGAGGTGCCTGATGTCGCCCGAAAACAGCGACTCCATCCCCGTTGGTTTAGGGTTTAGGGTTTAGGGTTTAGGGTTTAGGGTTTAGGGTTTAGGGTTTAGGGTTTAGGGTTTAGGGTTTGCTGTGATATGGCGCAGAGGCTGAGAAGGTTAGTATGCAGACTAGCTATGGCCCGATTGTGGAGGGTTTCAGGGTCTATAGCCAATTTGTCAGGCGGAGTCCGGTCTGGGGTTTGGGGTTGAGGGTTTAGGGTCCGAACCCTAAACACTACGCAGAATACCTATCAGCCGCACCACCAAAAGGCCAGCCTTGATTTGCCGCCCGTGGTACTTCTCACCTGGTCGGTTTGGGAGGTCGGTCTAGGCTCTTCGGGCTTAGGGCTTAGGGTTTAGGGTTTGGGGTTTCGGGTTTACGGGGGGGGGGGGGGGGGGGGGGGGGGGGGGTGGGAGGAGTTGTTTAGAACCCCGAAGCCTTAAACCCTAAACTCTGAGGGGTCTAGGAGCTTAGGGGTGGAGAGGGGTGAGGAGCCACGGTTCAGGGTTGAGTCGTTGGGGAGTTGCTCAGAATGTGAGTTTAGGTTTTGGGGTTTAGGGTTTGGGGTTTTAGGGCTTGGGGATTTAGGGTTTGGGGCTTAGAATATACCAGGGTTTAGGCTTGTAGGGTGTAGGGGCTTATGGTTTCAGGGCTTAGGGCGTGCTGGTTTAGAGTATCTCTAGGGTGTATGGTTTGGAGCTAGGGGCATCCGGAAATTTAGGCCTTTAGGGTTTACCGATACACGGAACCCTTCTTGCAGAACTGCACCCGATTGGGGTCTAGGGTTTCGGGGTGGTTCAGGGTTCAGGGTTTGCTTTGGCTTCAGGGCTTTGGGGTTGGGGATTGCAGGGGTTTCGTGGCTCAGGGGTCTCTTGCCCCGGAACACTGCCTAGACCCAGGAATAAAAAAAGGGTGCTCTTTATGGTTGAAAGGGGTTTATGCGAGAGCCCAAACCCTCAAAAAAGGAAACAAGGGCCTACTTGGGGTCCTAGCTGCCCTTTGGGAGACCGGCCTACCATCTCGACCGCATTCTTGAGCAGGTCCTTGTGCAGGATGCTGACGGCGAGGTTATGCCTGTGGGGCGATGCACGCAGAAGGTATAAGGGTGCCCTAAATCCCTAAGCCCTAAACCGTAAATCCTAAACCCCAACCCCTACACCCCAAACCTTAACCCCTAAACCCTCATACGGCTGGGCAACGCGGGTTCCCTAAAAAAGTCCAAAGGGAGGTGAGGTCCCTTAAGCAATTCTTTGCTTAAGAACCCCCCGAAAGAAGAAAAAACATTCCTTGTAAGGGTAAGTAGGGATTATTATCTTCTATTTTTTGAGGGGTCTTAATGAAGTGGTAGTAAACCCTCAACCCTTACCACGCTTTCTTGGGGCCTAAGCTGCCTACCGCCCGCAGCACTTCAACACTCTAAGCCCACCACACAACCCACCTTTTGCTTAGGAACCCCCTAAAAATAATAGATGATAATCCCTACGTATATTACCCTTATAAGGAAGAGTATTCTTCTTTGTGGCAATTAGTAGAAACCCCCTGCTGGCCCCCCCCCCCCTCCGACTTTCTTACGTCAACTCCTGGGCCTGTTGAGGGCGTTCATAAGCATCTGGTTTGGCATGCCGCTGGCAAAGACCTGGATGTTTGGGGAATTCGAGGGTTTGAGAGGTTCAGGGCTCGCCCTAAACCCTAAACCCTAAACCCTGAACCCTAAACCCTAAACCCTAAAAAACCCTAAACCATAAACTTTGGTGGGGTTCTATGGCTCAGGGAACTCCAAGCCTTGATCTCTAACCTTGCTTTGCACCCAGAGCACTGCGTGTTGCAATGCGATTCGGGCAGGAGCCGCCTCCTAGGGTTTAGGGTTTAGGGCTTAGGGTTTAGGGTTGTCAGGGCTATACTGCATGGATTTGGCAAGTGTAGCTGGGCTAAAGGTCTGAAGGCTCGGTGCGACTGCGCGCGTGCTCTGGCGACGCAAAGCATGCAATGTCACGGAGCCCCAAACAGGGAACCCCAAGAATATAGTACGAATATCATCGGAGTATACCTACCAGGGTCCTTCTATTCCTACTAAACCCTATACCCTAAACCCTAAACCCTAAACCCTAAACCCTAAACCCTAAACCCTAAACCCTAAACCCTAAACCCTAAACCCTAAACCCTAAACCCTACCGGAACATACCTACCAGGTTCCTTCTATTCCCTATCTATTGCCACCATATTCTTGGGGTTCCCTGCTTAGGGCTCCCTTTCGGATCCTTTTATACAAGGGGCGAAGGCGAAGACTGTGGCACGATGGTGGAGTACGGCTGCGCATCACCAGTCCAATGAAGGGGAGGTGTGTAGTTTTTAAACCCTCAGCCCTAAGCCCTAAGTCCTAAACCCTAAACCCTGAGTTTAGGGTTCAAGACGATCCAAAAATACTCAGTCCCACCCACAATACTCAGTCCCACCGTCAACCTTGAACAGCCAACCTTTCAATGCATCATTTTAGGGTTTAGGGTTTGGGTTTGGGGTTTAGAGTTTAGGGTTTGGGGTTTAGGGTGTTCAGGGGTTGAGGGCTTAGGGTAGTCCTGCACCACAGGACCAAACGCGGCTCTCAGAAAAGTCACAACTCTTTGCAGCCAAGGGCACCAAAGCACTGGCGTGCTCGAAACCAAACTGCTCCTCCATCTTCCTGCCAGGGTCTGGAATTTAGGTTTAAGATTTCCCCCCCCCCCCCCCCCCAAAAACCCTAAACCCTAAACCCTAAACCCTAAACCCTAAACCCTAAACCCTAAACCCTATTGATTTGCAGCAAAAGGCATCCTAACCCAACAGAGTCTACGCGTTGGGCATGGAGGGCCTTGAGGCTTGGAGTGCTTAGGGCTTGGAAACCCTAGACCCAAAACCTTAAACTCTAAACCCCTGACCCTCAACCCCAAACCCTAGCCCTAAACCCTAAACCCTAAACCCTAAACCCTAGCCCTAAACCCTAAACCCTACCCTCCGAGATCCCGAGCCCCGCCTCAAAGCCTCCACCGTCCCGCACTGCGTGACGTAGGGCAGCCTTAGGGTTCTCTTGCTGGTTCTTAGGCTTAGGGTTTAGGGTTTAGGGTTTAAGGTTTAGGGTTTAAGGTTTAGGGTTTAGGGTTTAGGGTTTAGGGTTTAGGGTTTAGGGTTTAGGGTTTAGGGTTTAGGGTTTAGGGTTTAGGGTTTAGGGTTTAAGGTTTGCTGTGATAGGGCGAGGAAGCTCGTGAAGATGCCAGAGTAGCCTCGAAATCCTCGTAACACGCGAAAGGCAGTGGACCCACGGTTAAGGTTTAGGGTTCAGGGTTTAGGGCTTAGGGCTTAGGGCTTAGGGCTTAGGGCTTAGGGCTTAGGGCTTAGGGCTTAGGGCTTAGGGCTTAGGGCTTAGGGCTTAGGGCTTAGGGCTTAGGGTTTAGGGTTTAGGGAATGCAGCTTCTCTGGCTCGCTGTTAGGGGTTAAGGGTTAAGGCTTCTAGGGTTTAGGGGTGTAGGGTTTAGGGTTGAGAGGTTGAGGAGTTTGGGGTTTACAAGGTGAGGTTTCAGGAGTTACTCAATAAAACCAAAAAGGCTAAGGATCGAAGGTTACAGTGAAACACCACAGAGCTTCGAGGGTCTTGTCAAGGCCGTGTCAAGGAGCCTGGTGTTCCTTTCTGTTTAGGGTTTGGGCAGTTCGGACTGTCTATGGTTTAGGGCTTGGGCTTGTATGTGAGACCGGGCTTCTCAAATGTTCAGGGTAGGGGTTTTCAACAACTCGTGATGTCCACTGAGGGTTTAGGGTTAGGGCTTAGGGAGCCTGAAGAAACACAAACCCTATAAACCCTAAACCCTAAGCACACAAACCCTGCAAACCCAGGGCGAGCAGCAAGTGCACATTTCCGACGCAGTAGAGCCTTGGAGGTGGGTGCAGCAATGGTTTGCATGGTTCTTAAAACCCAACTATTTAGGACCTACTTACGTACGTAGGGGGCTTATAAGAACAATACACATATATGTGTATATATATATACATATATATATATATATTTTTTTTTTTTTAGGGCTCTAATTCCCTGGGGGTCCATGTGTCTAGGTCGCAGGTTTTTGTAGGGATTGGGGTCTGGGGCTTAGGGGAAGGTTCGCCGCAGGGACGCAGACCGAAAGCCCGAAGCCCTTCGGCAAAGGAGCATTGCTCAGAGCGTTCGCAGGTTTCGGGAGTCTTCAGTTCAGGGTTCAGGGTTCAGGGTTCAGGGTTCAGGGTTCAGGGTTCAGGGTTCAGGGTTCAGGGTTCAGGGTTCAGGGTTCAGGGTTCAGGGTTCAGGGTTCAGGGTTTAGGGCGTTTAGCATTTAGGTATTAGGGCGTTTAGCATTTAGGGTTTAGGGTTTAGGGTTCAGGGTTTAGGGTTTAGGGTTTAGGGTTCAGGGTTTAGGATGTAGGGTTTAGGGGCTAAGGGGTAAGGGCTCCCAATGTGAAGCCCATAGCCCCCCTTGAAGCCGTCAACTCGGAGCTCCCTCACACTAGAGCCTACACCTTAAGCCCCTGAACCTGAACCGTACCCTAAACATTGCTCTTCCCAATTTAGGGTTTAGGGTTTAGGGTTTAGGGTTTAGGGTTGAGGGCTTAGGGCTTAGGGCTTAGGGTTTAGCGTTTAGGGCGTTTAGGGTTTAGGGCTTAGGGCTTAGGGCTTAGGGCTTAGGGTTCAAGTCACCCAGCCGGCGCATCCCAACCATGGGAGGGCTTCGGGCTCAGGGTTTGGGCCATGGACTAAAACCATGAACCTGAACCTGATAAGACCGTGAGCAGAAAATCTTCTACATGCCAGTTTGCTTTGATGATTGAGAAGTTCTCTGCATGATGGTCCCTTTTGGGGGATCCTGTTGATCAGGTGCCATACGATAGAGAGGACTCATAAAGGGACCCTCGTTTAAAGAACCCTAAACCCCAAACCGTTAAAACCCTAAACCCTGAACCCTACACGTATCTAGAGAACTTCCCTTATGATAGCAGATGCTGGCTACAGCTGGGGGCCGGGCCGATCTTCGCGCTGGTGCTTCCTGGCAGCGGGGATGTTGTAGGTTTTTTCGGGTTTAGGGTTTGGGGTTCGGGTTTATATAAGGTCTAGGGTTGGTAGGGTTTGTAGGGTTTGTAGGGGTTTGTAGGGGTTTGTAGGGGTTTGTAGGGGTTTGTAGGGTTTGTAGGGTTTGTAGGGGTTTGTACCTTTTATAGGCTTGGAGAAAAAACGGTCGGCATAGTTCAGGCTGAAGGTCTCGGAGCTGCAAATTTTCCGGGCTCTGCACAGATTGTGCTCGAAGCAGCGTAGGACATGCTGCAATGACGACAGCTTGCGATGGTATGGCGTTTAGGGTTTAGGGTGTGTTAAAGCCTTCATGAGCACGTGGGCAGCATGACAGATTTTGCCATCCCAATGTTCATGGGGTTTGGGCTGTTTAGATATTGCAGCTTCGCCTTAGGTTAGGCTGGGCATGTGTGGGGCTTATCCTTCATGATACGTTCTCCTGAGTTCTTCCCAACCGTCCAAAACACACTCAAAATCCGTCTCGGGGTTGGGGTTAGGGTTTCGGGCTTTGGGTTTATGGAGAAGCACTCTGGAAAACGGAAAATCGGTAGACCCTCCAAATGCCATTTCCGGGCCTTTTTCCCTCGCCCAAACCCAAATGGATTCGCCCTAAGCCCTAAGCCCTAAGCCCTAAGCCCTCAGCCCTAAGCCCTCAGCCCTAAGCCCTAAGCCCTAAACCCTAAACCCTAAACCCTAAATCCTAAACCCTAAACCCCCTCAAATTCTTAATGAAACACAACTCGTCAGCGCTACGATCCCTAGAGGTCCGGGGATTGCTGTCGCACCCTACCCGCCTCACAGTGCCACAGGACTGAGTCCCTAGCTAGAGCTGAAGCATACCTGTTAGGGTGTAGGGCTTAGGGAAGTTTAGGGAAGTTTAGGGAAGTTTAGGGAAGCTTAGGGAAGTTTAGGGTTTAGGGTTTAGCTACGTTTACAGCACCCACCGAAGCCCTGCAAAAGCATCTCTTGTATGTACCATGGGGGGTTCCTAGCTTCGTGGTTTTTGTGGTTGTAGAGTTAGGGTATGGGATTTAGGGTCATGGTTTAGGGTTATGGTTTAGGTTTTAGGGTCTAGGGTTGAGGGTTTAGGGCTTAGGGGCTCAGGGTCTCCGGGTGTTCAGGGCCACTTCGGTGGAGCCTGGCGTGGAAGAAGCGCCGCAGCAGCAGCTCAATCTCCTCATGCTTTGTGAGCATCGAAATGCCACCGGGCGGGTTTAGGGCCTCGGGTTTGTTGACTTCAGTGTCTGCTTCAAGAACGGAAAGAACGGAAGGCCTGTTGTGCTGAAATGGACCCTAAGCCCTAAACCCTGAACCCTCAACCTGAACGCTAGACCCTAACCCTAAACCCTAAACCCTAAATCCTAAACCTAAGCCCAAGATCGAGAGGGATCAGGGTAGCATCGGGAGTAAGGGTTGCTTTAAAGAGTATGGGTTCTGAAAATCGCTCGATTTTGGGCCCTTCTATACGTGCTGTAGAACCTGCATATCCATTTAAAGAGTTAACGGTTCAGTTTTCTCCCCCAAAAAGCCGCGGGCCCTTGATGGCACAAGCTTCAAGGTTTAGGGGTTTGGGGGGAAGGGAGGGGGGAGGGGAGTGGGGGAGGGGGAGGGGGGGGGGGGGAGGGGAGGGAGGGGGAGGGAGGGGGGGGGAGGGGGGGAGGGGGGGAGGGGGGGGGGGAGGGGTAGCCTACTGTGCACACTGGGGCAGGTTTTCGGCTACCTGCTCTACCGTACTACTTAAGGACCTGAGGTTACACCTTGAGAGCACACAGCCCCCTAAGGCACGTTTCGGTGGCCGCTGCTCGAGCTCCTCTGTTGCTCTGCTCCACAACAGGGTTGAAGACGAATGGTGGTTCTAGGGAAATACTGACAGCACCTCGGTTGACAAACATCGAGAATCCGTAGCTTCAACTGGTCCAGCGTCCAAGTGCCCTTCCCGTACACCTCAAAGAACCGCCCATTGTACTTGACAAAGGAGGCCTCCAGCGGTCCCTGGCTATGCCCTGCAACCCCAAAGACTGTCCCTAAACCCCTCGAAGCCTAAACCCTAAACCCTAAACCCTAAACCCTAAACCCTAAACCCTAAACCGGGTTGTGCCTCCAGGGTAGTGTGGCTCGAGCACAGGAGGAGCTCTTCGGCCTGCAGCCACCAAGGTTCAGGGGTTTAGGGTTTAGGGTTTAGGGTTTAGGGTTAGGGTTTAGGGTTTAGGGTTTAGGGTTTAGGGTTTAGGGTTTAGGGTTTAGGGTTTAGGGTTTAGGGTTTAGGGTTTAGGGTTTAGGGTTTAGGGTTTAGGGTTTAGGGTTTAGGGTTTAGGGTTTAGGGTTTAGGGTTTAGGGTTTAGTGTTTAGGGTTTAGGGGTTAGGGGTTAGGGTTTAGGGTTTAGGGTTTAGGGTTCAGGGTTTAGGGTTTAGGGGTTTGAGGGGTTAGGGGCTAGGGGTGTTAGGGGCTTGTGGAGCTCAGGGTTTTAGGGGGCTCAGGGTTTTAGGGGTTTGTAGGGCTTTCGGGGGCTTCAGCAGTTTTAGGGGTTTTGGGGGTTTCGGGGTTGAGGATTTAGGGTTCAAAGTTTCTGGGGCTCTGGGGGTTGGGAGTTCGGGGTTTCGTGCCTAAAACCGACTCTCTTCACCCCCCAAAGGGTCTGCGGTTTAGGAGTTTAAGGCCCTAAAAACCCTGAAAACCCTAGAAACCCTAGTAAACCTAGAAATCCTGGAGATGCTAGGAAACCCCAGAAACCGAGAAGATGTGCAAAACCCCAAAACCCCTGGAAACCCTGGAAAACCCCTAGAAACCCTGGAAACCCTGGAAAGCCTGAAAAGCCTGAAAACCCTGCAAACTCTGGCAAGCCTAAACCCTGAACCCTAAACCCTAAACCCTAAACCCTGAACCCTAAACCCTAACCCTAAACCCTAAACCCTAAACCCTTAACCCTAAACCCTAAACCCTCAACCGCGGCGAGTGCCTCCGGCACTCGCTCTCGGCGCGTGTAGATGGAGAGGACGAGCTCCGTGACCTCCGCGCTGCTGCTCGAAGTGCGCATGGCTTAGGGCTTAAGGGTTAAGGGTTTAGGGTTTAGGGTCTAGGGTTTAGGGTTTAGGGTTTAGGGCTAAGGGTGGTTTGGGGCGGTTTTGGGCGGTTTAGGGCAGCTTAGGGTGGTTTGGGATGGTTTAGGGTGGTTACGGTGGTTTAGGGCGGTTTAGGGCAGTTTAGGGTGCAGTTTAGGGTGGTTTAGGGTGGTCTAGGGTGGTTAGGATGGTTTAGGGCGGTTTAGGGTGGTTTAGGGTTTTGGGGTTGTAGGGGGCTTTGGGGTTTTTAGGGTTTTGGGGTTTTAGGGTTTTGGGGTTTTAGGTTTTTGGGCTTTGGGGTTTTGGGGTTTTAGGGGGTTTAGGGTTTTAGGGAATGGGGTTAATAGCAAATCCTGACCCCAAGCGGTAACCCAGTTAAGAAGTAGGGAAACTGGGGAAGGGGTGAGGGTTTAGGAGGGTCTAGGGTTTAGGGTAACAGGGAGGCGGAGGGGAGCTCACTGTCACACACCCTAAACCCGCAATGCTTCCAACAGCGGATCTAAAGTCTGATCTTCCCCCCTCAAACCCTAAACCCTGAACCCTGAACCCTGAACCCTGAACCCTAAACCCTACACCCTAAACCCTAAACCCTAAACCCTAAACACTAAACCCTAAACCCTAAACCCTAAACCCTAAACCCTAAACCCTAAACCCTAAACCCTAAACCCTAAACCCTAAACCCTAAACCCTAAACCCTACGCCGCAAAAAAATCCCAAACCCGGCAGCCTCGAGCCCCAAAACAAAAAACACCCCTCACACGTGCGTTCTAGCAAAATAGGAAAAAGACTAAGGCGACATTCATTTCCTTGTTCTTAGCAGTAGCCTACATAATCCCTTAGAAAGAGTAGACAGGGTGATCTGACACCCAAAACTGCCCCCAAAAACAGAGAAAACTCTAAGCCTCATTCCATAGAGAGGACCTGGTGTGATATCCCTAAACCCTAAACCCTAAACCCTCAACCCTAAGCCCTAAACCCTAAACCCTCAGCCCTGAACCCTAAACCCTAAACCCTAAACCCTAAACCCTAAACCCTAAACCCTAAACCCTAAACCCTCAGCCCACTCCCGACACACCCGGCCTTGCAGGCTTCATCCGCGCAGCAGACGAAGATGGGCACTCCCTGCTCCTTTCACCGAAGTGCTACTTTGCCTTAGCACCCCCTGAACCCTGAACCCTGAACCCTGAACCCTAAACCCTAAACCCTAAACCCTAAACCCTAAACCCTAAACCCAAAACCCTAAACCCTAAACCCTAAACCCTAAACCCTAAACCGAATTAATTGGCCTTAACGCCTAAACCCATCTTGCAGCTGTGCGTCTTACAGCTTTATGGAAGGCAAAGCAGATGTGGTGTCAGCAACCCTGACAGATGCCAGATCCAAGACTAACCCAGGACTTGGTACCCTTGTTGGCACAAAGGGGGCTTATCCGGAAACCCAAACCCTCAAAACAGGGAAACCCTAAACCCTAAACCCTAAACCTAAATCCTAAACCCTAAACCCTAAACGCAGCACAAAGTACGGGGGAGAAGGGGGGGGGGGGGGGGGGGGAGGCGGGGGTAGCGGTCCCTGTTCTGCATGCTTCGGATCAGCAGATCGCCCTGGAGCTGCTGCTTCACTTCCGTGAGGCCCTGGCCGAGGGTTTGGGGTTAGGGTTTAGGGGTTTAGGGTTTAGGGTTTAGGGTTTAGGGTTTAGGGTTTAGGGTTTAGGGTTTAGGGTTTAGGGGTTAGGGGTTTAGGGTTTAGGGTTTAGGGTTTAGGGTTTAGGGTTTAGGGTTTAGGGTTTTGAGGTTGAAGCTGTAGGGTTTAGGTCGCGGTGACGGAATAGGGGTTTAGGGGTTTTGGGGTTTAGGGGTTTAAGGGGGTTTGGGGGGGTTTGGGGGGGTCTCGGGGAGTTTGGGGGAGTTTGGGGGGGTTTGGGGCCTTCAGAAATTAGGGCTTAAGGCTCCTTTCTTCTTTCGCTAAGTCCTCAAACCCGAAACCCTAAAACGTACAAACCCGACACCCCCTAAAACCCCAACGAAAGATGCCTCAACCCCTAGACTAAACCCTACAGTAAACTCCAGAGAAAGTTGGACCATGGTTCAAGGATGGTTAGAGTTGGGATTCCCTTTAGTATACCTTTCAGGGTATGGGCATAAGGATGTTCCAACTTTTTGGAGTTAACTGCCCTAAACCCTAAACCCTAAACCCTAAACCCCTTCCCCGCATGCACGTCAAAGGCATGCAGATGCTAGTCCTAAACCCTAAACCCTAAACCCCAAACCCCAAACCCTAAACCCTAAACCCTGAACCCTGAACCCTGACCCTGAACCCTGAACCCTGAACCCTGAAGCCTTGCCACCCTGAACCCTGAAACCCTAAGCCCCAAAACTCTTAGACACTAAACCCCAAACCCTGCCAACTCCCCAAGAGCCCTGGAAAAAAAAAACTCAAACCCCCGCCCCTACTTGGAGGTTCATGGGTACTTATAACCCCTATTATAAGTCTACTTATAACCTACTTAGAGGACTTAGGGGGCTTATAAGTACAGTTATAATGGGGGTTATAAGTACCCTGAACCTCCAAGTACTTAGCCCTACCTTTTTTGGGACAACTCCCCTGGGCGCTTCTTGCCTGAAGTGGCCGCAACTGCGGCGCCACCCCCTCGAAGAGCTCCTGGGAAGCTGGGGTTGGGGGGGGATTAAGGGAAGCCCCCCAATACTCCGAATGGGTTTAGGGTTTAGGGTTTAGGGTTTAGGGTTTAGGGTTTAGGGTTTAGGGTTTAGGGTTTAGGGTTTAGGGTTTAGGATTTAGGGTTTAGGGTTTAGGGTTTAGGGTTTAGGGTTTAGGGAGGTTACAAGGCACCCAGTGTGTTCGAGAAGGCGTGTAGTGTGGGTAGTCTACATGGCATTCGGTGCAGTGTGGCACTGCAACGAGCGTCTTCGTCACATTCTCGGCGCGCCCTTTACATTTTTTCCGGAGATACCCTAAACCCTAAACCCTAAACCCTAAACCCTAAACACTAAACCCTAAACCCTAAACCCTAAACCCTAAACCCTAAACCCTAGACCAAATCATTAAAATAGGGTTTAGGCGATCGTGGAAGCCTCGGTTCACCCACCCATAACCCCGAAAGCCCCGCCCCAGGTTCGCCCTCCCTTGCAGCAAGCGTCTCCTCCTGGCCTGAAGATAGTAGGGTTTAGGGTTTAGGGTTTAGGGTTTAGGGTTTAGGGTTTAGGGTTTAGGGTTTAGGGTTTAGGGTTTAGGGTTTAGGGTTTAGGGTTTAGGGTTTAGGGTTTAGGGTTTAGGGTTTAGGGTTTAGGGTTTAGGGTATAGGTAGGGTTCAGGCTCAGGGTTCAGCCTTCAGGGTTTAGGGGTTTATGACGTATATAGGGTTTGACATTACTTGGAGGTCCAGTACTTGCAAGCCCCCTAAGTCCTCTAAGTAGGCTGTAAGTAGACTTATAGCTGGGGTTAGAAGTACCCGTGAACCTCCAAGGAGTTTAGGCCTTTCGGCGTAGGGTTTGCGGGCTTCGGGTTCGTCTTGTGGCGCTACCCGAACCTTCGTAGCCCAGCAACCATATATAAATCAGGGTACCCTTTGGGGTTGGCTCCTTTAGAAAGGAACCCAGAACTCAAAAAGGTGAAAAGGGTTCCACTGGGCTACCACCCCAAACTCCAAACCCCAAACCCTAAACCCTAAACCCCAAACCCTAAACCCTAAACCCCAAACCCTAAACCCTCCAAGTGGCGCTTCAAGGCCCAGGAAAGCCCGAACCGAACAACGGCCAAGGCACGTTCAGGAGCTGGCCCACGTCGTTGAGAAGCTTGACCTCGTAAGACGTCTTAAGGTTGCAAGGATGGGCTCGCTAAACCCTAAACCCTAAGCCCTAAACCCTAACCCTGAACCCTGAACCCTGAATCCTGAACCCTGAACCCTGAAACCTAAACCCTGAACACAGAACCCAGAACCCTTAAACCTAAACCCTAAACCCTAAACCCTAAACCCTGAACCCCGGGTGTTTAGGGTTTCGGGGTATAGGGCTTCGGCATCCAGGTTCCAGCTCCCACCCCGAAAACCGAGGCCCCAAGACTCGCAAGTGAGCAGTGCCGGGCTTGGGGTTCAAATTATAGGGTTTAGGGTTTAGGGTTTAGGGTTTAGGATTTAGGGTTTAGGGTTTAGGGTCTAGGGTCTAGGGTCTAGGGTCTCTAGGGTTTAGGGCTTACACCCCAAAACCTATTTAGGGCTGAAGATCGAGGCCTCCTTGTCTGCATCACTTGAAGAGGCGCGAAGAAGACCAAGATTACCTGCGCGCATGCCAAACGCGACTCGGGTTCCACCTGTGCCCGTTTGGGGTTTGGGGCTGAGGGTTTGGGGTTTCACCTAAACCCAAACCCGAAACCCCAAACCCTAAACCCCAAACCCTACACCCCAAACCCTAAACCCCAAACCCTAAACCCTCCCCCAAATTCTTCAAAGGGAAGAAAACCCTAAATTGGAGTAAACCCTAATTTGCTTCTTAGGTAGAAGTAGCTATAATAGGAACCCCAGAATCAAACAAAGTATTGAAAGCTCCAAAACCCAGAACCCTAAACCCTAAACCCGAAACCCTAAACCCTAAACCCTAAACCCAAGCCCTAAACCCTAAACCCTAAACCCTAAACCCTAAACCCTAAACCCTAAACCCTAAACCCTAAACCCAGGAGGGCCCGCCTTTCAGGCTCGAGATGATCTTCTTGCGCGTGACCTCGGGCTCGGCTCTGAGATCCACGCACCTCAGGGGCGGGCTTGGGGTTTAGGGTTTAGGGTTGAGGGTTTAGGGTTTAGGGTTTAGGGTTTAGGGTTTGGGGTTTAGGGTTTAGGGTTTAGGGTTTAGGGTTTAGGGTTTAGGGTTTAGGGCTTAGGGTTTAGGGTTTAGGGTGTTGGGCCTCGAAATTTAGGGTTGAGGGTTTATATAGCTGAGCGTTTCGGAATTGGGGGGGGGGGGGGGGGGGGGGGGGGGGGGGGGAGCGTGAGTGTGCAAAGGGTTCAGGGTGAGGGTGAGGGTTGAGGGCTGAGGGTTGAGGGTTGAGGGTTGAGGGTTAGGTTTAGGGTTAGGGTGTGGGGCCTCGAAATTTAGGGTTGAGGGTTTATAGCTGAGCGTTTAGGGTTTAGGGGGTGGGGGGGGGGGGGGGGGGGGGGGGGGGGCGCGCGTGTTTAGGGTTCAGGGTTCACGGTTTAGGGTTTAGGGTTTAGGGTTTAGGGTTTAGGGTTTAGGGGCTTCAACCCCAAGCGTGCTTCAGGAGACCAACCCTACGGTAAACCCCTTAAACCCACCCCTTAAACCCCCCTAAACCCCCCCCCTAAACCTCCAAAGCCCTGGACTTTAGGGCACTAAAGCGCTCAAGGGTTTAGGGTTTAGGGTTTCGGGTTTCGGGCTTAGGGGCTTTGGGGTTTCAGGGCCTTCGGGCTTGGGGGGTGTGGGGGTTTGGGAGTTAGGGCTTGCGGGCTTTTTGGGGTTGCAGGGTGTGTTGGGGTTAGGATTTAATTAGGGCTTGGGGCTTTCTTGCTTGAGGGTGCCTCAGGGTGCAATACCTGCTACGTCTCTTGGATGTTGTTCCTAAGCTAAACTCTCCGCACGGCTTCGCACTCTGAGGTGCTTAGGAGGTTCGCCACTTGTAGGTGCTGCTTTTTGCACCCTCAAAGGCCTAAACCCCTAGGCCGTCATCCGATCCGATCCTGTCTGCAATGCTGGTTTCGGGTTTGGGTGTAGGGGGGGGCCTTTTGCCTAGCCGTGCCAAGAAGACGATCATAAGCGGTTTCCTTCGGGCGAACGGCTGCGCGAAAGCAGTCAGATGCGAGACCCTCCACTCCCAAACCGATGCGCCACAAAGAGCATCACAATCTGAAGACGTGGAGTTAGCTGCCGAGTGCCAGTCCAAGCCAGCGTAGAGTCTCCACAACAGCCTCCGCCCGCACCCTGCACTGCCGGGCTTTTGGAGGTCGCGGAGCCGCTGGGGGACTAGGCCAAGCAGACCGCTACGCCGAGGCTGCCCATGAGGACTGCAGACGCTGCGGCCCAGTAGCCCCAACGGGGGGCCCAGGGTAAGGCGAGCCCAGAAACTTCACAACAGCTCACCCCAGACCCCATTGCCAGGCGCCCAAGTTGCATGAGGGCCATGCCTCTCACAAGCAGTGGCTCCGTGTCCAGATCCTTACTGCTGGTTCGTGAATAAGGTACCATATATAGTCACCTAAAGGGTATATAGGGGATGTATGGTGCCTTATATAATCCCTTTAAAGGGTATATAGGGGCTACTAACCAATAGTAAGGGTCGAGGAAGGCGCAGTAAGTGGCGCAAGCTCCGCTCAGATCCTGCTCGGTTCCAAGGCCGTGCTGCTTCAGGTACCTTGCTGTTGGTTAGTAGGAAATGGGGGAATTCCTTGGAGGTGCATGGGTACTTAGAACCCCTATTCTAAGTCTACTTTAGAGGACTTAGGGGGCTTGTAAGTACAGTTATAATTGGGGTTATAGGTACCCTGAACCTCCAAGTATAGGCCCTACATACACCCTTTAAGGGATTATATAGGGCACCTCCTTCCCCCATTCCCAACGAAGGTGCGCCAGGCTGAAGTTGGCCTGAGAGCTCCCGGCCACGCTTGCTTGGAGCGTCCACTCGTATGCCTGGGCCGCCTCGCCCCGGGACAGGTGGGAGCTCGCGACCTGGAGCATCGCATCCACGTCGCCAGAGGCGGCTGCTCTACGGCGATAGTCCAGCTCCTTGGTGGCCCAGTATATCAGAATAAGGGTGCCCTTTTGGGGTTTGGCGACTTTAAACGGGAACCGGAGTATGTTATAATCAGGGTACCCCTTTTTGGGGCGTGGTTACTTTGTAAGGGCACCTTGAACAAACCCTTAACCCTAAACCCTAAACCCTGAACCCTAAACCCTAAACCCCTAAACCCTAAACCCTAAACCCCTAAACCCCTAAACCCCTAAACCCTAAACCCTAAACCCTAAACCCTAAACCCCTAAACCCTAAACCCTAAACCCCTAAACCCTAAAAGAGGCTGCCACTGGGCTGCCAAGACTCACAATCCTGAGCAACCCCAGGTCCCTTCGACCTCCAGCACCGGAATCTCCCGTCCTTGCTGTTTAGGGTTTAGGGTTTAGGGTTTAGGGTTTAGGGTTTAGGGTTTAGGGTTTATGTTTTAGGGTTTAGGGTTTAGGGTTTAGGGTTTAGGGTTTAGGGTTTAGGGTTTAGGGTTTAGGGTTTAGGGTTTAGGGTTTAGGGTTTAGGGTTTAGGGTTTAGGGTTTAGAGTTTAGGGGGTTAGGTGGGTTTAGGGGGTTTAGGGGGTTTAGGGTGTTTAGGGGGGTTAGGCGGGTTCAGGGGGTTTAGGGGGTTTAGGGGGTTTAGGGGATTTAGGGGGTTTAGGGCGTCTAGGGCGTTTAGGGTTTAGGGAAAAATCTACCCTACAGCCCCCTATAGATACCCTTTAAGGAATTCTGTAGGGCACCCCACAATTCCCCTAAAACCCTAAACCCTAAACCCTAAACCCTAAACCCTAAACCCTACGAAGAGCCAGGCAGCGCCGGAGTGGCCCCGAACCCACAAGTCGGCTGCGTTAGCGTGGGCGCTTGTGGAGCCAAGCCTTGGATGGCCCCTTTTGGAAGCCCTCTGAGGAGGGGAAGAAAAAACAAGAAGAGATCCCCAACCCTAAACCCTAAACCCTGAACCCTAAACCCTAAACCCTAAACCCTAACCTCCAAACCCTACACCTAAAAACCCTAAACCCTAAACCCTAGCCCAAAACCCTAAACTCTAAAAACCTAAACCCCTAAACTAAACCCCAAAACCCAATAAGAGACAAAGATGAAACTATCCCAAAGGCCGACGCCTAGAAACTCGGAGAGGAGAGCATAACGAACCAACGCGCCCTCCTGCCTGTTCTCAAGAACGTGCCAGCGAGCATCAGTATGCCTTGGCATCGCAGGAACCATTTTATAGGGGTACCCCCTTGGTTGGGGTTGGTTACTTTATGAGGTAACCTGGAACCCGAAAAAAAATAGGGGAAAGCGTACCCATGTTGGGCTACCAAGATGCAGGAAGAGCACGTCGGGATGGAAAGACAACGCCACCCTCTGCAGCGTGGACGCCGCAAACTGGCAGCCATGGCCATCGCCCCGGCTTCGCCGCAGTGTGAGCGCGACGGCATTCACGGCGGACACGGGCCGCCCTTGCCGAGCAGCAAGGGCATAGTACTTCCTTAGCAGCCCAGTAACAATCTCATCACAAGGGCACCCTTTTTTGGGTGGGTTACTTTATAAGGGAACCTTGAACCCCAAAAAAGGGAAAAGGGGGTACCACTGATCTACGAAGTTTCAGTGCCCGGCCCTCGCTGGGAGCACCCGGAATCTCAGCCTTCGACAGCTCTGGCAGCCTGAGCCCTGCATAGGCATGGCCGACCATCTGCTGCGCGTTGGGATCGCCGAGATCTGCGGCAGCAAGCAGGTACACTCCCGCCAAGGTGGCATTCGCATCTGCGCCATGAAGGTGCAGATAGTGCTGCGCCATGACTTTCTGTCGCTGGGGAGCACGGGAGTCCCGAACTCGACGGGCGTGGTGTAGAATGCCGCTCGCGTTGCCGTTTCTGGCATGCCAGAGCAGTGACGTCCAGGACGCCTCTGCACTTCCATCCCGGGCCGCGGACTCCAGCAGTGTGGCAGCTTGCGATGTATTTTGAGCCACTCCCACATCTTCATCGCCATGCAGTTGGAAGAGTGCCAGCGCGTTCTTCGCAGGCACCCATCCATCCCGCGATCGGGCGGACATCCAGTCGTACAGCTCTTTCTGGGCTCGCCGGCCCTCTGTGGCGTTCCGGACGTAGAAGTTTAAGGCACTGGCATCAAGACCCTTGTCCTCATTCGAAGCAGCTCTCTCGGCCACCACCTCCAGCGCTCGCAGTGTCAGCGGACACAACGTCGAATTGCGGGCGTGGCGCCCGCGGGGGAGGCGGCTGATGGATGGCACATCGGCCTCATCTGAGGTGCCCTGCCACCACTTCTCAGTGCCACCCAGTGTCATGCCCTTCCTTAAGGACCAAAGGAACCCAAAAAAACCCTAAAACCCTAACCTTAAAGTCCTTAAAGGGGCTTATGGTTGGGAAATATAGCAGTATAGTTAGGGTATATGCCCCCCCCCCCCCCCCAAATTTTAGGGCTCACTTGGCCCCCAAGGTTCAGCATGTAGTTCGACAGGGCCAGCGTCGACAGCGCATCCCGCTTCTCGGCTCCGATGTAGTATGCCAGCAAGGGTCGATCTAAAATCTCCGTTTCGGTGGAGGTCACAGGTTCTGAAAGCCCTTCAGTCCACTGAAACTGAATGCCTCCCTCAGCAGACACCTTGAAATGTGCAAAGCGCGAGACCTCCGGCTCGCTGAGCGCGAGAAGAGCTCCCAAGTAGAAGAAGCATCGCCCGCATCCCATGCTGGCGCCTTTGGCCACAGCCGTGATGGCATCTGCCCAACTCTGGTTGCTTCCGAGCAAGGAGGACTCAACCCTGCCTTGCAGAACCTCACAGTTCTCAACAGCGCGAGCGACTCCGCAGCAGAAGGCCAGCAGCCAGAGTCGCGCAAGGCCACGCATGACCCACGACATCCTCCAGCTGACAGTCTAAACCCAGATGAACAGTCCTTCTTTGCTGCGTTTTGGGCGACGATTTCTCCCCCGTGCGCCAGAGCTAAACCCTTACATCCATGCGACTGAACGGTTCGTTGCTACCCTAAACCTTAAACCCTAAACCCGAAACCCGAAACCCTCTGAACCCCGAAACCCTAAACCCTAAACCCTAAAACCCTCAAGGCAGCCCCAGCTTGAGTTCGGCTGCCTTGAAAGGCAAAGGAATCAATTCAACAGCGCATGCGAAGTTTATCTAGCATCTGATATCACATGCTGCTTAGAGGGTTAGGGTTTAGGGTTTAGGGCTTAGGGTTTTGGGTTTTGGGCTTTGGGTTTTGGGCTTTGGGTATTAGGTTTTGGGTTTTGGGTTTAGGGTAGTTGCAGTGGCCCTTAGTATGGGCCCTGAAAAAGGGGCCCCTTATGTACCACTTATATACCCTTTTCAACCCAAGGGCCCCTACTTCAGAACCCTAGGGTTCCATCAATTAAGGGCCCCTATAACCACCCTTAGAATGCTAGACCCAAGAGTAACCTAGGAATAAAAGGGGGCGACTGCCCTTTTTGCTGTAAAGGGGGTGATATGGGAACCTAAACCCGGAACGAGGGAATAAGGGCCTACTTTGGGCCCTAGAATACCTTGATGTTTGGCCTTTGGGCACACAAGAGCTCCTGCCTGAACCCGAAGCCCGTCCCCCCCGAACAAGGAGCAAGAACCTTGATAAGGGACCTTAAACCCTAAACCCTGAACCCTAAACCCTAATCCCCAAACCCCAAACCCTAACCCCTAAACCCTGAACCCTAAATGAATAGGCTCCTGTGACAACAGATTCCTGTTGGTGGGGGGGGGGAGCCTTGATATTGGGGTTGGGGGAGGGGACAAAAAACCCTAAGCCCCAAAGCCTCGACCCTGAGCCCCCAGATGTAACACCCCAGACTCTAGACACTGAAGCTCAAGCCCTAAACCCAAACCCTAAACCCTAACCCCAAACCCTGAACCTTATAAACCCTAAACCCTAAACCCTAAACCCTAAACCCCAAACCCTAAACCCTAGCCCTAGACCCTAAACCCTGAACCCTCGATCCCCTGAACACCCTCAACCACACTGCCGCCGAAGGAGCCGCAGTAGGGGCCAGATCTTCTTCCACGCCTGGCAGGTACTTCAGGGGCGTTTAGGGTTTAGGGTCTAGGGTTTAGGGTTTAGGGTTTAGGGTTTAGGGTTTAGGGTTTCGGGTTTAGGGTTTATAAGGTTTGGGGTTTAAGGTTTACGGTTTAGGGTTTAGGGTTTAGGGTTTAGGGTTTAGGGTTTAGGGTTTAGCGTTTAGGGTTTAGGACTTAGGGTTTAGGGTTTAGGGTTTAGGGTTTAGGGTTTAGGGTTTAGGGTTTAGGGTTTAGGACTTAGGACTTAGGACTTAGGACTTAGGACTTAGGGTTTAGGGTTTAGGGTTTAGGGATTTAGGGTGTAGGGTTTAGGGTTTAGGGTTTAGGGTTTAGGGTTTAGGGTTTAGGGTTTAGGGTTTAGGGTTTAGGGTTTAGGGTTTAGGGTGTTTAGGGTTTAGGGTTTAGGGTTTAGGGTTTAGGGTTTAGGGTTTAGGGTTTAGGTTTAGGGTTTAGGGTTTAGGGTTTAGGGTTTAGGGTTCCTGTGGTCCTTAAGGAAGGGGGGGGGGGGGTGACGGAACCCCGTGGGAAGGTCGGTACCTTCGGGGCAGCTCCAGGAGCTTTCTAAAGTGAACGTTGGGTTCCGCATGTCCCACTTCCATCCCTCAACCCTAAACCCTAAACCCTAACCCTAAACCCTAAACCCTAAACCTTAAACCCTAAACCCTAAACCTTAAACCCTAAACCCTAAACCCTACCAAGATACCTTCGGTCGGGACCGCGGTCGCTTGCACTCAAGAGTCGGGTTCTACATGAGAAGAAAGAAACCTGAATCTCCAAACCTAAAACTGAACCCCCGAAAATCCCAAGCCTACCCCTAAACCCTAAACCCTAAACCCTAAACCCTAAACCCTAAACCCTAAACCCTAAACCCTAAACCCACACGCCACCAGCACCTGGTCGTTGCCAATTTCTGGCAGCTGGTCAGTCAGGAAGCAAAGCTCCCGGACCGTGTAGTAGTTCCTTGGGTTTAGGGTTCAGGGTTTGGGGTTTGGGGTTTAGGGTTTAGGGTTTAGGGCTCCTTGGATTGCAGCGCGCTTGCCTCCAAGTTACGACCCCGCTTGCAAACTCGCAGGGTGCATCAAGGGACTGAAGGAGGGACCCTTATAGTGGACCTTAGTATATAAGGTATAAAGGGGCTAAGGGGGAACAAGATTAACGGCCCCTTCTAGGGGTCCCTCCTTATGCACTTAAGTACAGCCGTATTGCCAACGAAGAACCCTAAACAATATCCCCGGTGTTGTCGGCATTTTGTGTTGATGGGACTGGCTTTGAGGTTCAGGGTGTTCCTGCCAAGCTCATTGAACTCATGCTGTTTAGGGTTTGGGGGTTTAGGGTTTGGGGGTCAGGAGTTGTAGGGGCAAGCCAGACAAAGACTGGGAAACCTTGACAACCCACCCAACTGCGACCCAACCTCCTAAAGCCAAAACCCTAAACCCTAAACCCCTAAACCCCTGAACCCCTAAACCCCTAAACCCCTAAACCCCTAAACCCCTAAACCCCTAAACCCCTAAACCCCTAAACCCCTAAACCCTAAATCTAGAAGCGGCCGTCGACAAAACCCGGCGACTCAATTCCCTGCCGAGCCACAGGAAATAGTGTTTCGACCGGGCCTCACCCACCGCCTGCTGCCAGTCCTCGAGCAAGAACTAAGGGTTTAGGGTTTAGGGTTTAGGGTTTAGGGTTTAGGGTTTAGGGTTTAGGGTTTTAGGGTTTTAGGGTTTAGGGTTTGGGTTTTAGGGTTTAGGGTTTAGGGTTTAGGGTTTAGGGTTTAGGATTTAGGGTTTAGGGTTTAGGTTTAGGGTTTAGGGTTCAGGGTTTTTCAGGGTTAGGTATCAGGAGGGACCTCTAGAAGGGACCCCATAATCTGATTCCTCTATATCACCCCCTAGATACACTTCATATGGAGATTCTTCCCCTATGCAACCCCTATATGTACTAAAAGTAGATCTTCTTCCCCCATACAACCCCTGTACATACTTTGTATAAACCCATCACATTCGCCGGATTACCACTAACCCTAAACCCTAAACCCTAAACCCTCCTTTAGTCTCGGACGAGCATCCTGCGCGTGTTGTTTATGGGCTTAGGGTTTAGGGACCCTCAAACCCTCAACCCGAAACCTTATGCTCGCCAGACCTACACCTGCACTGCCCCTGACACTTCGAGACCCGCCTCTGCTCAGGGTTTAGGGTTTAGGGTTTAGGGGTTTAGGGTTTAGGGTTTAGGGTTTAGGGTTTAGGGTTTAGGGTTTAGGGTGTAGGGTTTAGGGTTTAGGGTTTAGGGTTTAGGGTTTAGGGTTTAGGGTTAGGGTTTAGGGTTTGGGGTTTAGGGTTTAGGGTTTAGGGTTTAGGGTTTAGGGTTTAGGGCTGTGGGTTAGTAGGGTTTATGTTTCTTGTACCCCCAAAGGACACCAAGTATACACACTCACCAATATTAAAAAGGAACCTTATATGCACTCACCAGTATTAAAAAGGAACCTTATATACACTCACCAAAAAAACGACCTTATATAAACTCACCAATAATAAAAAAGAACCTTATATACACTCACCAATAACAGAAATATAAATCCTGCTTCAATATAAGGGTCTTCGGGCCTTTGGGTCTCAGGGTGCTGGGCCATTCGGGCGTTGTATTCCTGAGCCCGTTTTAGGGTCTGAGTTGGGATGTTCCCTCTTATTCTAACAGTCCTTAATAGTCATGAAAGGACCCCGTATTATGATCCCTATTCAGGACTGTTAGAATAAGGGGGGACATCACAAGGTATGAGGGTCCAGGCAAAACCCATATCCGCCATGGAGTTGCAGGGAGAGCTCAGAAGTGGAACCATCCGCGTGCGTCTATTTGGAGGTTCGTGGTACCTATTAACCGATTGTAACTGTACTTATAACCCACTTAAAAGCGCCTTGAGTGCCCTAATATGGTTATAAGTACAGTTTTGAGTACAGTTATAACTGGTTAATAAGTACCATGAACCTCCAAGTAGGCCCTCAAGCTCGGGGGTGCCTTGGGGGTTCGGCTTGAGCTGACTAGCTCTTAGTAGGGAATGAGGAAATTCTAAGATGGCCCTTAAAGCCCTCTGAAAAATATTCTGATCCTCTTAAACCCAACAAGGGAAAATATAAAGTGTCTCAAGGGCCTTCCTAGAATTTAGAGAACCCCCCAGGTCCGTTCCTTGGCTGCACTTGGGAGGGTAGCAAAAAACTATGGACTTTCAGCTGCCCATATTAAGAAACCCAATAAGCCCAAAAAGGCGAAGGATCTAAAGTTACGGTAAAGCACCACAAAGGTTCCACCTAAACCCTAAACCCTAAACCCTAGACCCTGAGGTCAAACACGCCGCCTCCAGCTGCTGCTGCTTGTCCTGTGGCAGCGGAGGGCTTCAGGGTGCAGGGTGTTGGGGGCTTGGGGTTTAGGTTTAGGGTTTGGGGTTTGGGGTTTAGGGTTTAGGGTTTGGGTTTAGGGTTTGGGGTTTGAGGTTTAGGGTTTGGGGTTTAGGGTTCAGGTTTTGGGGGTTTAGGGTTCAGGGTTTTGGTGTTTAGGGCTTTAGCGGGGTTTAGGGGTCAGGGTTCAGTTTTGCTGTAAGATTTGGAGGGTGTTGCTTTGGCATGAATTCTTTTCGATCGTGCTGGATAGCATAAGCCCCCATTGCCGGTACGACATGACGAAATTGAAATCGTAACTGGCGGCTGCTGATGGCACAGGGTTGGGACCATGAAAACACTGGCGCGGGACTACCCACTCTTGCTCGTAGCTCATCTGGCAGCATTGCGTAGAGCACTTGAAAACCGTAAACCTTAAATCAATAATATTACACAGAAAATACATATATAAACAATCACAAGGAACACCCGAAAAAAAAACACAGATCCCAAATCACGCCAACACAACTAAAGTCCCAAACCCTGAAACCCAGGAGTCACCTGACAAAACCCTACATCCGAAACCCTAATACACCCAAATCGGCCCTCATAAACCCTTGTCAACCCTAACAAGCCCTAAACCCCAATGAACCCTAAGAAACCCACCAAACCCAACCCCGCTAAACCCCAATAAACCCTACTCAGCCCTGATAAACCCCAGAAAGCCAAAGAAACTTGCAAACATGTCTTCAACCAAATGTCCCGCAAAGAACCTTTTGAACCATAAAACCCTAATGAACCCCAATAACCTACCAAACCCTGCTGAAACCTACTAAACCCGACTAAACCCTGATAAGCCCCACCAAGTGCACCCTAAAACTCCAAGGAAGCTTTACGACCCTAAACCCTAAACTCTATCCAAACCCTAAACCCTAAACCCTAAACCCTAAACCCTAAACCCTAGACCCTAGACCCTAGACCCTAAACTCTATCTAAACCCTAAACCCTAAACCCTAATAAAGCCCTTACATGGCGGCCTCTAGCTTCTTCGCCACGGAATCCACGGTGTCCTGCATTGGAAAGGTGTAGGGTTTAGGGTTTGGGGTTTAGGGTTTGGGGGTTTAGGGTTTCGGGTTTAGGGTTTAGTGTTTAGGGTTTCGGGTTTCGGGTTTCGGGTTTCGGGTTTCGGGTTTCGGGTTTAGGGTTTAGGGTTTAGGGTTTAGGGTTTAGGGTTTAGGGTTTAGGGTTTAGGGTTTAGGGTTTAGGGTTTAGGGGTTTTAGGGTTTAGGGTTTAGGAGGTTTTAGGGTTTAGGGTTTAGGGTTTGGGGGGTTTTAGGGTTTAGGGTCTAGGGTTGAGGGTTAGGGTTTAAGGTTTAAGGGGTTTTAGGGTTTAGGGTTTAGGGGGTTTTAGGGTTTAGGGTTTAGGGTTTAGGGTTTAGGGTTTAGGGTTTAGGGTTTAGGGTTTAGGGTTTAGGGTTTAGGGTTTAGGGTTTAGGGTTTAGGGTTTAGGAGGGTTGAGGGATCTAGGGAACTCCTGACAGGACCCCAAAGCATCTCCCGACCTCACTTTCCATCTTCAACTATAAGGTGCCCGAGAATACTTGTGCTGCTGAAAATCGGGAGTTTAGGGTGGTTTAGTGGCCAGACCCAGGAGTAGCCTATGAACAAAAAAGGGTACCCTTTTTTGGTTTAAAGGGGTTTTTTTAAGGGAACCTAAACTAAACCCTATGAAAATGAAACAAGGGCCTACTCTGGGTCCCTAAACCCTAAACCCTAAACCCTAAACCCTAAACCCTACACCCCCCCTTCTGGAGCCTAGGCGGCGTAGAGGTTTAGAGTTTTGGGGTGGCTCGCCCGGCAGCTGATGAAGTCACCTTCGCTTTGGGCCTTGCACCTCGGCCCCACTAAACCCTTAACCCTAAATCCTGTAAACCCTATAAACCCAGGGGTTTCGGGTTTAGGGTTTAGGGTTTAGGGTTTAGGGTTTGGGGTTTGGGGTTTGGGGTTTGGGGTTTGGGGTTTGGGGTTTAGGAAACCCCTACCCCCTACACCCGAAACCCCAGAAACCCGAACCCTACAAAAACTCTCCCAAACCAGCCCCAACCCATGAAACCCTAACCCTAAACCCTGAAGTTCCCCCCCTATGAGAGGGCTTAACATGTCGGGTTTAGGGTTTAGGGTTTAGGATTTAGGGTTTAGGGTTTAGGGTTTAGGGTGTAGGGTTGGAATCGAATTAAATAGGCAGGCTGCACCTCATCAAAAGGTTTAAGCGTGACATGTGAAAAGCATGTCCCCCGCCCATCGAGCATGATTCAAATGGTAACAAGCGTAATTCAAAAGGCAATTCAAAAGGCTCAAGGTCACCCACTCAACGAAACCCTAAACCCTGCAACCCTACAACCCTCAACCCTAAAGCCCACAACCCTACAACCCTACACCCTAAACCCTAAGCCCTAAACCCTAAACCCTAAACCCCCAAATAAGCGAGCACCCCAGGCAACTTGGTCCTCGGGTGGGACGACCAGGACCTCGTTGTTCAGGCGATAGGCGAAGTGGCCTGGCGCTTGTGAGGGCTTCGGGCTCAGGCCTTGAAACCTTGAAACCTTGAAACCCTAAACCCCCTAAACCCCCTAAACCCCCTAAACCCCCTAAACCCCCTAAACCCCCTAAAGCCCCTAAACCCCCTAAACCCTTGACCGAAAACCTGCTATGGTAGAGTACCCTAAGCCCACTACGTAGGCCCCAGACCCTACAGTGAACCTAGAGACCCATTCCAAGAAGTAAGATAGGGGGCGGAACTAGGTTGAAATTTAATAGTCTTCAGTTAGGGCTCCTTTATAAATATACTTTTAGGGCTCCTTGAAAAAAATATACTTTTGGGGCTCCTTGAAAAAAATATACTTTTTCTTCCCCCCCAAAACCCTATTCTGATTATTCAGGCCCCGATACGACTCCTCCTCTTGTCGGGTGAGGCCAATCTACCCGAAACCAGCTTTGCCGCTGCAGGGTTAGGGTTTCGGGTTTTAGGGTGTTAGGGTTTAGGGTGTTAGGGTTTAGGGTGTTAGGGTGTTAGGGTGTTAGGGTTTAGGGTTTAGGGTTTAGGGTGCTAGGGTTTAGGGTTGTTTTCTGTCTGACCAAACGGGAGGACTACCAGCTGTTCTCGCATCAGCAGTTCACCTCCTTGGAGTGTGCTTTGCGAAAACACCGGCATCATTAAGACGAAAAGCCCCATGCGGCGACAGACGCTCACGCAACGATCCATACCGATACAGCGAGGGGTTGCAGCTGCAAAGACGCCTTAGACCCCCGCACCCCCCCCTTCCCCCCCCCCCCCCGATCGCCGGCCTAGACGGAAGAGCTCCATCGTACATCGGCCGAACTCCTTTCAGGCTGGAAGATACTGCACATGAAGTCGAAGAGCTCTTAGACCCTGAACCCAAACCCAAAAACCCAAACCCACACTCTGCCTCTGCTTCCAAGTATTCAAAGGGGGGGGGGGTTTAGGGCTTGGGGTTAGAGAAATTGGGACCTTTCCCAAATATCCCTGATTGGGTCCTCTGGAGGTGGCAAAAAAGGATCCCACAAACCTGAGATCTTGAACGGGAACCTGGTGGCCCAAACCCGACACCCTCGCCCTGAACACCTCAGCTACCCTAAGCCCTAAACCCTAAACCCTCAACCCTCAACCCTCAACCCTAAACCCTAAACCCTAATCCCTAAACCCGAACCGACGCCTTCGTGCCCAGACCCAGGGCAGAAAGGGGGGATGCAATTTAGAATCGCTCTCTGCCTGGACCTGCATTAGCATTCTGGGCGTGCAAGCCGTCAGGGTTTTGGGTTTAGGTTTAGGGTTTAGGGTTTAGGGTTTAGGGTTTAGGGTTTAGGGTTTAGGGTTTAGGGTTTAGGGTTTAGGGTTTAGGGTTTAGGGTCTGGGGTTTGGGGTTTGGGGTTTGGGGTTTGGGGCTTGGGGTTTAGGGTTTGGGGTTTGAGGTTTAGGGTTTAGGGTTTAGGGTTTAGGGTTTAGGGCTTAGGGCTTAGGGTTTAGGGCTTAGGGTTTAGGGCTTAGGGTTTAGGATTTAGGGGTTTAGGGTTTAGGGGGCACGACGCTGATGCCAGCAAGTCAGAGAATCCAGTGCGAGAAGCTGCGCCGTCTCCAAAGATCCCTCAATCCGAAAACCCTACAAACCTAAACCCCCAAACCCCTAGAATCCTGAAGACCCTAGAAACACTAAAGCGCTGAAACCCAAGAGCCCTAAACCCCTGGAAACCCGAAAGCATCCTAAAGCCCTCAAATCCCTGGAACAGAGAAACGCTAAAGCCGTACAACCCCTAGAACCCCCTTAGAAGCCCCAAGAAACCGCCAGAAACCCTAGAAACACCCAGAGACCCCAAGAAATATCTCGAAAACCCCACCCGAAACCCCCAGAAACCCCTCGCAGTAACCCTAAACCCTAAACCCTAAACCCTAAGCCCCCCGGAAAGAGCTGCCAAGTGGGTCCTCCAGGAGCTGAAGTTTCCTGAATCTCGCAAGTTGTGCAGGGTTTAGGGTTTGGGGTTTAGGGTTTAGGGTTTAGGGCTTAGGGCTTAGGGCTTAGGGCTCAGGGTTTGGGGTTTAGGATCTAGGGCTTTCGGGCTTCGGCTTTAGGGGAGCCTTCGGTTGTAGGGTCCTCGGGAAGGCATCACTCTCGCTACTTGCCGCCCTAAACCCTAAACCCTAAACCCTAAACCCTAAACCCTACACCCTACACCCTAAACCCTAGACCCTAAACCCTAAACCCTAAACCTCGGAATTTTGGCCACATTGATGTACCCGGGAGTTGTGCTTGGGTACACATCAAGATCTCCTCTGATTGGCCGTGCCACTAAGTCGCCGCCTGCGAGCATGTCGATTTTCTCGCATGTCTTCCGGTAAGAAGAAAGACCTAGCTGTCTGATGTCCGGCCTGACCCTAAGTTGGCATCAATAACTTTGAACTTCTCCGTGAAAGCCGAGGCAGATATTGAGGCATCGCGGTTAACGGGCCATGCGGTCCATGTCACCGGTCAGCAATCGTCTGAGGGTTTAGGGTTAGGGTTCAGGGATTAGGGATTAGGGATTAGGGATTAGGGTTTAGGGTTTAGGGATTAGGGTTCAGGGTTTAAGGATTAAAAAGGTTTCCTTTCTTGCTTAAGAGCTTATATACATTAGGAGCCACCGAAACATCCCCAAAAGGGAATAGGGGTAGTACTGGCCATCCTAGTATGAGGACACATCTTTGTCGAAAAATGATGGCTTCGGAATTGCCCCCTCCATCTCGCCTCCTACTATGTGCTGAAGAACACCCCAACCACAACATAGAAGAATACAATCCTCACACTCCCCTACTAAAGAAAGAATCTCTTTTGGGGGAAGGGTTCTTAAGTAGTTAGAGGGAACATAAGGTTCTTTGTCGGGCTCAGGCATTCGGGCGCCCCCCGACTGGCTTGGCTCTCCCAACAAGGCCCTCAAAATAGAAAGTATCTAAGGAGGATTCAACAGACTCCTTGGGCATTCCCCTTTCAAGAAATTGCGGGGTATGGTCCTGCCTTTTTCTCCTCCTTTTAGAGGTCGAGGGGTCTGGGTTTGGGGCATGTTGACTTATTCTTAAGTAGGGGCCATGGCGCTGTTCAACCAACTGGGGCGTCACCGAGTATAGGGTTTAGGGTTTAGGGTTTAGGGTTTAGGGTTTAGGGTTTAGGGTGCAAGGCCGGGGAAACAAGGGGGGCTTTGTCCGCTTGGCAACTAGGGGGGGCTCGGAGTGAGCATTTAGGGTCTTGAGGGGAGGGGGGGGGGGGGGGGTGTATAGGGTTTTAGGCTTAGGGCTACTAGGGGTTTAGGGTTTAGGGTTTAGGGTCTTAAGGGGAGGGCGGGGGGGGGGGGGGTGTATAGGGTGTTTAGGCTTAGGGCTACTAGGGGTTTGGGGTTTAGGCCATAACCTTGCAAGATTTTGCCTAAACCCTAAACCCTAGAACCCTAACTAAACCCTAAACCCCAAACCCTAAACCCTAAACCCTAAACCCCAAACCCTAAACCCTAAACCCTAAACTCCAAACCCTAAACCCTAAACCCTAAACTCGAGTTGCAGCCCGAGGAGCTGCACCAGCGTCTCCAGCATGGCGGGCAGGTCTTTGGCGCCGTCCAGCTCCTTGGGTTTTGGAAGGTTTAGGGTTTAGGGTTTAGGGTTTAGGGTTTAGGGTTTAGGGTTTAGGGTTTAGGGTTTAGGGTTTAGGGTTTAGGGTTTGGGGTTTAGGGTTTAGGGTTTAGGGTGTCGGCGCGATGTCGTCCCGGCAAAAGATCGACAGTGAGTTGTCCGAACTGGACGGGCGGTGGTGCCCTTGCTTCTGTCGCGCAGTCTTGGCAGTGAGGGAAAATTCAAGCCCCAAACCCCAGAAGCATATCATCCCAAAATCCCTTACCCTAAACCCTAAACCTGAACCCTGAACCCTAAACCCTGATTGTAGGGTACCCAGGTTGCTCTAGGGTCTAGGAGTCCCCATGGCCTCAGGTCTTCGGATCCTAAAGGGCGTTTTAGGCATCAGGATCCCAAGCCTTCAAGCCCAAAAACGGACCCCACAACACCGCTAAACCCTAAGACCTAAACTTAAACCATAAACCCTAAACTCGACCCTGAACCCTAAACCCTCCCGGACCCAAAGAGACAAGTGCATCGCCGAGCGTCGTAGGGCACGTCGGTCATCAGCAGCTGGCGACGCAACTCCGCTAAGGCCTCCGAATGCTTTTAATGTTTCAGGGCTTAAAGTTTGGGGTTTGGGGTCTATTGTTTAGGGTTTGGAGTTTGGGCATGCTCAGATTCCCCCGACCTTAAGCCCCAACCCTAAAACACAAAGGCCTTCGGTCTTACAGGCGTCCGACGCCTTGCCGATTCTTTCCCTTGCAAGCGTTGGTGTCCGGGGGCCCGTACACCGAAGGCAATGCTTTGAGACAGTTGAAATACTGAAGTAGTCATCAATGACCAGCGCATCCCAGCAAGGCCTCGGGCTCCTGGGGCGGGCGCCCAGGAGCCGATGAGGCCGGAGAAGAAGGCCCTTGTCAAGCAGAAGCTGCTCATGAGCAGCCGTCGCGAATTCGACGCCCAGGTGGTCTCCCTGCAGGACGGCGGCAAAACAGGGCTGAACCACTGCATCAAGGATCTCCGAGGCAGCCCTGGCCCTTCCGGAGGCCAAGGCTTCGTGCTGAGAATGTCTTCCTCGGCTTTGTCCAGCCACCCTCCTTTCAGGCCCTAAACCCTAAAGCCTAAACCCTAGGCCCTAAACCCTAAACCCTAAACCCTAAACCCTAATCAGCGGCACGGTGCTGCGGAACTGAGTTTCTCGGGCTTTCGAGCTGAATATCGGGGTCGGGAGAATTACGAACAGCATTCCCTCATGGCCCCTTTGTGGTTAGACTACAATAACCCCCAAAACCCTAGTCTAACGATTCGAGCGTCCAGATTTCACAGACTCTGTAGTGGTTTTAGATGAGGGCTCATGGGGCTCATGGGGTCTGTAGGGTTCATGGCTTAGGGGCCATTGTTGCCTGCTACAACAACCCAAAACCCCTAACCCCCAAACCCGAAACCCGAAAGCCTAAACCCTACGACCCATCTGCGGCATCAGGTACGAATATCCGCCCAAAATCTCCCCTTAGCGCTCTCAAGGCTTCAGGTTCCGGGGGTCCAGGGTTTCGGGTCCAGGTTTAGGGTTTGGGGGGGCTTAGGGCTTGAGGGATTAGGTTTAGGAGTTCTTCCTTGGACC